CAAATACCATTTAACTTGATTAAAACTATTTCTGTTATTGCAATAGGCGTTAATCAAGTTTTACTTGAAGGTAAACAATGTATTTCAAAGACGAAGTCCCAATATTTTGTGAAATCTCTTTTGAAATTATGAATTTCTTTCTGCCACTTTGTGAAAAAAAAAATTGCAATTTTCAATTGTGAAGGGGCCTTATATCGGCCCCTGTTATAGAAGTATAGAAGGTAAAAAAGCCCTGTATCTTCTGGTAAAACTACTTTACGCCAATTGCAATAACTGTAACACAGAAATAGTTTTAATCAAGTTAATTGGTTTTTGCACATGTTAACCGGGTTAATGTACTGACTTGAAGCAGATTTTAAACAGGTCAGAAATTATAATCAACCGTTTCCAGTTTCATAATGTCGCGAAATGCCAAGTAAAAATATATATGTCTTTTTTTTCCCACAATTTTATGACATATCGCCCTTTTTTCACAAAATGAACACACAACTTTAACAAAAAATGCCCTGAAAATTGATTGAATCTGTCGCCATTTTGTGTAATTGTCAACAGAAAGCCGCAGTATGTTAGTGTGTCGCCGATTGGTCAATGCAAACTGCCGTAGATACAACGTGCATACTGATTCGTCAATCGCATGAAAACATAATGAGAAAGATAACCATAGTGAACTATTGCCTTGCGGCATGTATTTTTTTAGACTTTGTTGATGTTGACACGTGTTCTTAACTAGTGGATTAACAATAATTGGTTATAATTGAGAAGTTGTTAACAGACCTAGTGTCGTAAATAGGTATGACAAATCATTAAACATGAGGGCCAAGATGGCCCTAGATCGCTCACCTGACCCATGAGTTTTTGACCCCAGGTGACCCATATTCGAACTTGACCTAGAAATCATAAAAACAAACTTTCAAACCAATTTCCAGGATACTAGGATCAAAACAGTAGCCACTAGAGCGTTGAAAAAAAAAAGATTTGAGCCGCGCCATGACAAAACCAACATAATGGGTTTGCGACCAGCAAGGATTCAGACCAGCCTGTACATCCGCGCAGTCTGATCAGGATCCATGCTTACAAGCCCTATTACAAGTAGAGAAACTGATAGCGAACAGCATGGATCCTGATCAGACTGCGCGGATGCGCAGGCTGGTCTGGATCCATGCTGGTCGCAAACCCATTATGTTGGTTTTGTCATGACACAGCTCATTTTTCTATTTTTAGCTCCGATGACCTAGTTTTTCATCAGATATGACCCATATTCAAATTCATCCGAGTTATTACCTAGAAAAGCATCCTTACCAAGTTTGATGGTAATTGATTCAAAAATGTGACCACTAGAGTGTTAGCAAGGTTTCTCCATATTTTGGTGTTGTGACCTAATTTTTCATCCAAGATGACCCATGTTCTAACTTGACCTAGAAATCATAAAACAAACTTTCAGACCAATTTACAGGATATTTGGATCAAAACAGTAGCCACTAGAGTGTTAAAGAGATTTTTCTATGACCTAGCTTTTCATCTGAGATGACCCATGTTCAAACTCATCCCAGCAATCACCTAAACAAGCATCCTGACCAAGTTTATGATAATTGAGTAAAAAATGTGACCACTAGAGTGTTAACAAGGTTTTTCCATATTTGGGCGGTGTAACCTAGTTTTTGACCACAGGTGACCTATATTCAAACTTGACCTAGAAATCATCAAAACAAACTTTTCCAGGATATTTGGATCAAAGCAGTAGCCACTAGTGTTAACAAGGTTTTATTTCTATTTTTAGCTCCAGTGACCTAGTTTTTTCATCCAAGATGACCCATGTTCGAACTCATCCGAGCAATTACCTAGACCAAGTTTGATGACAATTGAGTCAAAAATGTGACCACTAGAGTGTTAACAAGTTTTTTCTATTTTTAGCTCCTGTGACCTAGTTTTTCATCCGAGATGACCCATGTCAGCATTTTTTTTTCACTTTTGGGGGAAGGGGGTCCGTGCCCTTTGGAGGGGGAAAATGCAATAGGAGGGGGACTTTTATTTGTTTACTTATTTTATAATTGTTTTCTAGAAAAGGGGAGCAACTCTTGCAACACAAGTTTAAATTCACTTTTTCTTAATATACGGATCTAAAATATGGATGTGTTGCATGTTTAACTTGTTGGGATGCTGGGAGTAGCTCCCCTTACCTACCCGAGAACGATTTGTAATCCACCTTGCTTAACAGTAACTCTTACAGGCAAAAATAAAACATTTTTCTGCAGTTAGTTGCAAAAAAAAAAGATATTCATTGCAGGCAAATTCGGGCTGCCATATAGGGGGAAATTTCGGCTTTGAAGGGAGAAAAAGCAAACTATTTTGAGGGGGGAATGGGGACGAATTTCGCCGAATATTTTAGTGAAAAAAAACACTGCATGTTTGAACTCATCCGAGCAATTACCTAGAAAAGCATCCTGACCAAGTTTGATGACAATCGAGTCAAAAATGTGACCACTAGAGTGTTAACAAGTTTTTTTCTACTTTTAGCTCCTGTGACCTAGTTTTTCATCCGAGATGACCCATGTCAGTGTTTTTTTTTCACTTTTGGGGGAAGGGGGTCCGTGCCTTTTGGAGGGGGAAAATGCAATAGGAGGGGGGCTTTTATTTGTTTACTTATTTTATAATTGTTTTCTAGAAAAGGGGAGCAACTCTTGCAACACAAGTTTAAATTCACTTTTTCTTAATATACGGATCTAAAATATGGATGTGTTGCATGTTTAACTTGTTGGGACGCTGGGAGTAGCTCCCCTTACCTACCCGAGAACGATTTGCAATCCACCTTGCTTAACAGTAACTCTTACAGGCAAAAATAAAATATTTTTCTGCAGTTAGTTGCAAAAAAAAAAGATATTCATTGCAGGCAAATTAGGGCTGCCATATAGGGGGAAATTTAGGCTTTGAGGGGAGAAAAAGCATACTATTTTGAGGGGGGAATGGGGACGAATTTCGCTGAATATTTTAGTGAAAAAAAACACTGCATGTTTGAACTCATCCAAGCAATTACCTAGACAAACATCCTGACCAAGTTTGATGATAATTGAGTCAAAAATGTGACCACTAGAGCACAGACGCTTGGGGTTTGGAGCTCAAAACGCCTTTAAAATCCAAATAAAATGCATATTTGTCAATCCCAGGACATGTACTGATCATATATATCAAAAAATCTTACTATATGCCGTTTTGAAAAAAAAATCATATTTCAACATCTATAATAATACACAAGATAAAAATGTTCGCCGGAAAAAATCCGCACCCCTACCGTCATAATCACCATGTATTTTAATCCATTTCCAATATTTTCACATAATCCTTTGGTCCATCGACACAGAAGATATAATTCTTCACAATGATGGTCAATTTTAAACTTCAACGGTAATATAAACAACGCAACAGCCGAAATAAACATCAATATTCTCGCCGTTTTTTTTCAACGACAAAAACTTTCGATAAATTCAATGGACCAGACGGCTATGAACGAAGCTATCCGATTATGTGGCCCCAGCTTTGCCGTGTGCAAAATGCACAGCGCTTTTAAGTTTGGGAACCACATAATCGGATAGCTTCGTTCATAGCCGTCTGGTCCATTGAATTTATCGAAAGTTTTTGTCGTTGAAAAAAAACGGCGAGAATATTGATGTTTATTTCGGCTGTTGCGTTGTTTATATTACCGTTGAAGTTTAAAATTGACCATCATCGTGAAGAATTATATCTTCTGTGTCGATGGACCAAAGGATTATGTGAAAATATTGGAAATGGATTAAAATACATGGTGATTATGACGGTAGGGGTGCGGATTTTTTCCGGCGAACATTTTTATCTTGTGTATTATTATAGATGTTGAAATATGATTTTTTTTCAAAACGGCTTATATTAAGATTTTTTGATATATATGATCAGTACATGTGCTGGGATTGACAAATATGCATTTTATTTGGATTTTAAAGGCGTTTTGAGCTCATAACCCCAAGTGTCTGTGCACTAGAGTGTTAACAATGTTGTTCTATTTTGAGCTCCTGTGACCTAGTTTTTCATCCGAGATGACCCATGTTCGACCCCCCCCCCAACATGAAATTTTGTCCACCTTGTTTTTTTTAAATGGGTGGCTTTCGTCTGCTGGGGGGGGGGGGGGCTTTTGTCCTACACTCTTGGGGGTCAGATCCTGCCCCCCCCCCCCCCCACAACATGATACACCCATGTAAACACTCTATCAAAAATATTTTAATATTTAAACACAAATTGGACATCTGTTACAACCATAAAACTGGTTTACAAACAATTTTTACATATATTAAATAAAAAGAGTGTCTACAGAGGCGATCACATTGGGGGAGGGGGGGCAGGATCTGACCCCAAAGCAACTGTGTAATAATATGGTGAATTAACATATGAATTTAAGATTTTGAATTTACTAGCCCAAATTCCAGTTTTGAATTTATTCTACTATATATTTAACTAAATTTTCTTAATATTTTCACTGGCCTGAACTAATTTTCACTGGCCATGGACCACCGAGCCAGTGCTAAATTCGATGACTGTAACTTTCATACTCGGATGTTGCATACCTTGTCTATGACAATATAACAGTAAAAAAAGTTATTTTTATATAGGATATTTGATTGCATAAATAACAAGGTTAAAATCAATGCCACTAGTTTTGTATTTAATCGCTGTCCAATTATCTTAATTTCTCACAAAGAAGGTGTTGAAATACCTGAACAAGGTGTTAAATTTCAACACCTAGGATTAAAATACCTGAACAAGGTGTTATCGCAATGAATTTATTAACGCTGTATTTAAGATAACTGCGTTTGCATCTCAAAAATGATAATTGGCAAGTTGCAAAAAATGGCCGACAGCGTCCTTGCTCGTTGAGCATGCCGGTTTCTAATTTAACAAAATATGTACCTTTCCATTCGACAAATTCTATTTTTTTTTATAAATTTCAAAATTCAACTGTTTAAGTGCATACTCACTTGAATTATTTGCTTTGTAATCCATTCTTGACAAAAATCTTTAAGATAATTGAGCAAATTTTTTCAGTACTCTGCCATTGCCTTTGTTATCCTTCAGTAATGCCAAGGCTTGAGACGGAGCGGCGGGCATGAGGTACGGGAAAGGGTAAATGTGGCGATGTAACAGCGAATTGCAAAGTCTGCGATTTGAATTTTAATCATTTACTGTAACTTAAGTTGTAAATAAGATCATTTTATGTTATGTGTAAAAAAACAACATTATTATTGAATCAAATATGCGATACAAAAATTCATTTTCCCTTTTGTGTACCCCGTCTATTTTTTCGCGCGTGATTCGGATGTCAATCACGCGAGTCACGTGACCAGTTATCGTAAATATTAACTTCTCGTGGCATACAATGTGTAGTCCCCTTTTCGTGACAACTTTAATTTGTGTTAGCATAAAGTAAATATAGGTTGCATAATTTAGTTATCACTTGCTGTATACATATGTAAAAATATCACTCTACTGAAGCTGCTACACGAAAATTTATGACTAACCAGTGCGTAAATTTTATGAGCGGTACTGCAGTACAGTAAATTTAAAATTCAATAAATAATAAATGTTAATAGTTTTAAGTTAAACAAAATTACATATTTGGTGTATATTTTTGTATGGAATATATATTTGGACATTTTAAATAAATTATTTTCTATCTTATTGAAGATCCTAGTGGCCAACTTGAAACAAATTTATATAAACATGCTTTTTTTTAAATGAAAGAATATAAATAGGTCAAATAACGTCTGCTTAATAAATTGTATCTTAATATAACACGGATTTAATTCCGTGCTTATAAGGACTATATAAATCATGCCATATGCAATCATAATCACATACTGGAAAATTTCAAACCACTTTATACAAATAGCCTACCATATGATACCAGCTTATAATATCAATATCAAATTATGCTAATTAATACTGTAAAATATACCATTTGAAACTCCCTGAGGTCTATTAAAACCATGATTGGAGTTCTACATATTAGGTTCATTCCGTATTTGTAGCAAATTGATATTACTATATAAAATGTAGACAGTGATAAACATAGGGTCTTATAGGATCACATATTGATAATACTAGTAGAGATAAACATAATACTGTTTTAAATAATTCGGAACCAAGCTAATGTATTCCTTTCGATTTCTACGCCACACATAAACATTAAAAGACAGTAAGAGTTGTTTCCCGTTGTTTATGTGTAACAAGAAGGCTTTTAATTCGAACAACAACAGGGTGCAGGTTGTATTAGGTAAATAAACATAATAATTGATAGGCTAACAGTGTAAATAAATTTATGAAACATGATGACAGCTATTATCAATTTGATAATTTCAATTATCAGGACAAAGTAAACTTGCTGTTAAAGTTGCTGTCAGCGCGTGACTGCGGTTCTGGTCCGGGATGTTTAGGTCCGTGTGGAATTTAAACAAGTCTATGGAAGACGGTGATGATTTATCTGTTAATTGGCAATTTATCGAATTTCACAGTCCTAAAGAATTAACCTGGCATTTGAATTAAGCAGATACTGCTCATGGAGAGATTTGGACCTTTAAAAGACTATGCATCTTTATAATTTGACTTGGTATGCTTTAAATTTCTCTTGCTCAAGTTGCTGTCGAACAACTCACAGGTTTTGGGAACATGACCCATTACCATGGAATTGGGAATTTCCGCGATGTTTTGTTAAAAATTAGGAAAAACTGCATGACTAGATTCTGCAGTGATTAAATGAATACAAAGAATCACTGTTTAGGATGGCATCTTAAAACATTTAAACAACATAACAAGAAGCCCTTGTTTTCAAAGATTTTAGAATTTGTTATTCAGTATTTTTATTATTTTGTAACTTTCAATTGGGAATTTTTTCCTGTGGATTGGGAAAATAATATTCTATTTTCAAATGGGAATGTGACCGAATATCAGCTATAAAATAAGCCCCAAAAAAAAATCCCTAAAACTGGAACCGTTCACTAAACCAAATACCAAATATGCTCAAAGCTGGTTAGTATTTTAAAAAGGGTGAGAGTGGTTTCGTCGAACTAGTGGTTCGGCGAACTGATCTTATATAATAAAACAGGTAGTGGTTTCAGCGAACTTAATTAATATAGTGTGAACAAAATCTATTGTATAATGGACACGTCAATTATCGCGGGTCTTAATGTGTGGTTTATCACACATTTTCATGCAATTAAAGAGAATGTCAGACGTTTCACTCCCAAGACGTTTCACTATTGAGACGTTTCACTCCCAAGACGGTTCACACCTAGACCTTTCACTCCCATTTTGTCAATTGTATGGACGTTTCACTCCCAATTTTTAGAGTTTTTCTAGGAAAGAATTAAGTTAACAAAATTTTAATTTCATTAATATCAAGCAGTGTAAAAAGGAAATTCAATTTAATGTTTCATTTTGTTGATTTCAATGGTATTGTTAATACGAATTATTAGAAGATTACTCATTTAATTATGGGTTGAGTGATAAGATGTGTAAATGAAAGACAAATTTCTGAAATATCACTTTTATTATAAGTGTAACAACATGAGAAAATTCTGTTTATAGTAAATTAAAAGATATAATAACATAGAAAGAACAACAAAGACATATTATAAGTATCAGTTTAAATACCAGTAAAGTAATTAATATTGTTCAAATAATAAAAAATATCAATATATTAATATATTGACTATATAATGATTATCTTTTGTAAGTCTTAAACAATGAAATGCGAAACATATGTATAAAATAAGTTAGTTTCTTCATCAATTTATTAAACAGTAGCCATTAAACAAACTTAAGTAATTGTGGTATTATTTCATCGCCTAATTAGTTGTATAAACACTGAGACAATCAACTAACAGTTTGACACCACTATTTAATCAGTTGTATAAACACTGCACTTAAGCATCAACAGTTTACTAATCAGTTGTTTATTGGACCATTAAAATATTTTTTGACAACAGCCAACAGCCATAAGTTTTGTTTATATAATAATGAATTTTAGCCACAAAAAATGATTATACATGACAAATATTGAAAAAGTCCTAATGCTCCTAATTAAATTTAAAGATATTTCTGATTTCAATGGCCATTAAATTTTTTGACATATATCGCAAAAGCACTATACTAGCATTAAATAATTTAACAATTTTTTATCCCATGATTAAAATTAACAACAAAGACACATTACTCAAAGTTAATTGTTGTCACAAGATTGTTATGCTTTAAATTAAAATTGCCTATTGAGTCCATGTTTACAAAAGATCTGAAATGATAGAACTTTAAGTACAAAGTTTTAAGTCATTGACAAAAAAGTGAAATTCCCCTTTTTAATTTATTTTTATTAAATTTAAGGTCTATTTTAGTTCAATTCAATTCAATATTTTAGGTCTATTTTAGTATATCATAAGTATCAAAATAATTTTGGTATAAAAAGGGAGTGAAACGTCTTGGTGTGAACCGTCTCAATAGTGAAACGTCTGTCTACCAATAGTGAAACGTCTTTAAAATTTAAACCTATTATTTATTCTTTTCTTTAGTATAATAATAATATTTACTTAAAAGAATAACACAATACAAAGATCTCAATGAACAAACAACATCATAGAAATATATATGCGAATAAAAGTACAACCTGAAAAAAACTACTTAAAACGTCTACTTTGCCTATAATTACTATAACATAAGGTCGATGAAACCAATTGCACTTTCGCACCTCTTCATAAATTAAGTTCGCCGAACCGGTAGTTCGACGAAACCACAATAATTCTTTTAAAAATACCTGTTCTTTTTTAAAGGTACTGCAAGATACAATCTGACTAAGACTAAGTTTGCATATATAGACTATATCTATCATGTATATTATACTGGGCAGCTGCATCCTTTTTTCCAGTTCTATGTCAGCTTTGCTTTTAACTTTTTATCTCAGTCTTGAAGTTCTCTTTTAACTTGCTTTTATCTTATAGCTATAAATTTGCATCTAACATCTTTGTTTGAAACAGCTATTCCCAGACAACGTGCCTGCTTACTGTAATCGTTGACAATTTTGAAGCAGTATAATGTAGATGTATATTATTATATAATTTCTTATTCTTATCTTAACTTCACTATGTATGGCTTCATTTTTCATCAAACTAAGTGTTGTTTTATGTATCTTGTTGCGCAGGTTTTGTTGAATTACAGTAATAGAAATAACCCCATAATGCCCCACTTAAGTGATAAATCGCCCCACTTTATATTAAACATTTTTTACTTCATTTGGATTGAAAATTTATTATGCTTTTGAAACAGTAGCAAAAATACAATTTTAAATTTATTTCTGTGTATATTTATTTCTTTACTATCTTTAGCACATCTTTCTGTTTTAGGTACCTCAGCTGATCTGTATAAAAAAAGAACTTTCATGATTTTCTACAGAGTCCCTTTAACCCATTACTTCATGAGCATTTTGTGAAAAATGGCTGTTTTCATTGAAAAGTCTCCCGTTACAAGTTCAAATTGCTATAATACTATAAAAACTGCTTCAACACTAATCAAACTTGGCACAAATGTTGACTGGACCATTGCCATTGCAACAACATGCTCAGGCTTAAATTTGCTGTTACCATGGCAACGAGGGGACATCTCAAAATTGCCAAAATCACTATTTTGCGTTGATTTTTTCCATCAAAATTGATTTCAAAGTGCTGCAACTTCTCAATGGATTGAGATAGAGTCAAATGCTTTTCAGCGTTGGTTACACGTTACCTTATGATCAATCTGGGGTCATTTACAGCCTCTCACAAGTCCAAATTTTTCTTGGCGATGAATGGCTGTTTTCATTGAAAAGTCTCCCGTTACAAGTTCAAATTGCTATAATACTATAAAAACTGCTTCAACACTAATCAAACTTGGCACAAATGTTGACTGGACCATTGCCCTTGCAACAACATGCTCAGGCTTAAATTTTCTGTTACCATGGCAACGAGGGGACATCTCAAAATTGCCAAAAATCACTATTTTGCGTTGATTTTTTCCATCAAAATTGATTTCAAAGTGCTGCAACTTCTCAATGGATTGAGATAGAGTCAAATGCTTTTCAGCGTTGGTTACACGTTACCTTATGATCAATCTGGGGTCATTTACAGCCTCTCACAAGTCCAAATTTTTCTTGGCGATGAATGGCTGTTTTCATTGAAAAGTCTCCCGTTACAAGTTCAAATTGCTATAATACTATAAAAACTGCTTCAACACTAATCAAACTTGGCACAAATGTTGACTGGACCATTGCCCTTGCAACAACATGCTCAGGCTTAAATTTTCTGTTACCATGGCAACGAGGGGACATCTCAAAATTGCCAAAAATCACTATTTTGCGTTGATTTTTTCCATCAAAATTGATTTCAAAGTGCTGCAACTTCTCAATGGATTGAGATAGAGTCAAATGCTTTTCAGCGTTGGTTACACGATACCTTATGATCAATCTGGGGTCATTTACAGCCTCTCACAAGTCCAAATTTTTCTTGGCGATGAGGGGGACTCTGCCCCCCTTCAAACCCCCCCCAAACAGAAGGGGGCACATCCCCCTTCTGGCAACCCCCTGATGAATCTTTTGGTTGGGGGGCCGCGCCGAAAAAGAGGTCACTTTTTTGTTTACAACATTTCTCAAACAAAAACAAAGTGTTTGGGGCCTAAATAAGGCATTTTTTCATCATTTGAGACAACAAGAAGGGGGGGGGGGGTGAAAAAGGCGTTAAAAGGCGTGTATATGAAGTAATGGGTTAAAGGCAACATGAAGGGTCATATTTCCAATGAAAAATAGTGTCACTTTTGTAAAATTTGCAAGGTGTCACTGTGTTTATCTACAGAATCTTATGAACACAAAATTTCAGATAAATATCTAGAAATTTTTAACAAATCATGTATTAAATTCCAAATCCATGACTGTTTCTAAAACACTGAAATAATAAACCTGACACAACCAGGTCATAAAAATGTTTCTCACCAAGGTATTTAGTTAATACTGAAATAAAAGACGGCATATAAATGATAAGAATAAATTCCAGAACAAACAAATGGTTACCTTAAGAAAATTTTGTCTACAAATTTAGAAATGTACAGTTTTTTTAAATAAATCAAGTCCGAGAAGTTGAAATATAAAAAAGGAATAAAAAATATAGAAAAAATGACATGAATTATAAAAGGTGCAAAAGTTATTGGAGAACTTCAAGGTTGTTTTGATTTCTAGCTAAGGTGCTTCTATGCTTTCAAAATGCTAGCACTTTATAATGTTTTATAGGTTATGTTATTTTCTCTTTTTTTTTCTTCCAGGGTACCTATAATGCAAAATGGCAGCCATATGTGTGAATGATATAAAGGAAATCCCTGGCTATAAAGTTATTCTAAATGCTGTACTCAAAGCACAGATTCTACAGCTGGTAAGTTTAAGACTTCCATTATCAAGTTGGAATGATTCATTTCAGAGGTTGATTGTAAACTTGTGAACTAAACAAATCAGTTTCCAAAGTGCAAATTATTGTCTATAGATTTTTCAGATACATGTTCAAATATTTAAGTCATTGATGTGCATGTTTTTCAGTGAAAACTTCATAACTAATTTTAATCATATTGTTTGATTCAAATTTAGAATTTTTGTTTCTCAGTTTCACCTTCATCACATAATGATGTTATAAAACTGAAGCCTGTCTTTTTCAATATTTTTTTCTTTTGGTTGCGTTTTTATGTCGCACAAACACAGTAGAAGCCATATTGTCACCCTTCAGCTTTTCTGGTAGAGGAAGACCTCAGGTTCTGCTCCGTGCATTATATCGTTGGGCACAAGCGGGCACAAACTTTCCATAATTATTAATGTTTGGTTAAAGACATTTCTTGTCAATAAGAAACAAAGAAACAATATGTACCATGCAAGAATATATTTATTAAATCATGATATTTTCAGGTTGATCAGTTAGCAGTTGAAACAAATGAAGAATCTGTTCTTATCACAGCTAATATTTCTGATGGAACACTAGGCCATCTTGGATCAAGTTTTGGGAACATATTCCTGAACACTTATTCTGATGTTAAACAGCAGTTTCTTGGATTTTGTCTTCATGGTATAGTATACGGATTTAACTCGATACAGGATTGGAGCAGTACTTCTAGAAGCTTGCAGAAATCATGATCACAAAATAGACAAATATGATCTTTTTCGCCGAATATCACCTTTTCATTCCTTATCATATATAAATCAGTCTGAAAAGATGAATAAGACGTTTTAAAGTTCATTCCGTAAGGTGAAAAGGCGAGATTTTAGCATTTAATCATTCAAGCGTCTTGTCCGGTATGTACATGAATACGTTATTTAGTTTGGTGCTCCAATCCTTTTTTTCAGTCTCATTCATATTACACAATTATTTTTCTCTCTCAGAAAGGACAGAAATAGAGCTATAAATTAGATAACTGACCAAAAACAAACAACAACAACGACTGAAATAAAACACCAAAAACTGTGAAAAATGCAACAGAGTCATACATTTAATCATAATCTCAATCTAACAGCAATTGAACATGCAAAGCACATTGAAGAGGCTGGCGTTTTCTGTCCACTAAATTTATCAACAATTTAAATTTAATTTTTCACACTGTTTCACTTTTTTGTATAAACCTTAAGATGTTAAAAATTCATAAATTTTACTTGAAATTTAACACTTTTACATGAATGTAATACATGTATATTTACATGAATTTGAAATATTTGCACTGTTTTCATAGATTTCATTTATGAATTTTACATAGATTTTGTTATCTTTTTATAAGAGTAAAACATACAGTTGAAATATTTACATAAACAGTTTTACACAGATTTTATTATTTCATATAATACATTTACTTAAATATAAAGTTTATATACCGGTATTTTTTATATAAACTTTAATAAATTTACATAGATTTATTAAAAGCGAAACAGTAATGGTCATAATTTTAATTTTTATAGATGGTGACCTAAAAGAGGATTAATTTACTCAATTAATTTTCATATTCATTATTTACAGAATATGATCTGTCTTTTCAGAATATCAAAACAGACAAAATGACAACTCATTGTTAGAGGATGTATCCAGTTCTCCTGAAAAGAAAACATCGGGTGGAAAATCACCTAAATCACCAAAGGGTCCCAGGAAAAGAAAGAAAACTGCATTATGTACAAGAAAGTCCAAGAGGATGGCTTATGGAAGCCAAGTACCTGAATTAGAAACATTGAAAAGCTTAAATGAAGATGCATTAGAAACAATTACACAACAAATTGAAAACAGCCACACATTAAACGCATCAAATATTGAAGTAGACAGTTTGAATAATAACTGCAATGATTTCATCCCAGAAATCTCAAATGTAAGCGGAAATGTTAAAACTTTTGACACTGATAACGAGAGACCTTGTATCGAGGATAAAAATAATTCTGAAGTAGCTGAGGCACCTGTTCATCTTGAGAAGAAAGAAACGTTAAAAGATATCGACCCATGTGTCTCCATGGAAACAAGTGTCTCTGAACAACCTGTTGACCATATTTCAAAAATTGAGGCAGTTCAAGATACCGTTAAACTTACAACAAAAGACGTTAAAAGTAAATCTCCACGCAGAAGTAAAAGTGTTAAATCACCAAATAAAAAAGGGAGAAAAGGTAAAAGGTTGTCTAAGAAACATGGGGACAATGGTTCCGATACTGACACAACCATTGAATGGAGTGAACATCCCGATTCTCCAGGTATTCCCTCTCTCGAAGATGATTCTGCAAAGCAGATAAAAAAAGAGCCAGAGGATTTTCCAAGTAAGTGAGAGATGTTTTTGAAAGTGAACTTGTATTATAGTTTGAGAGATGTTTTTTTTTTTAAGTGAACTTTTATTATATGAGCTAAGGATATTAATAATACAATGGTAAACTAAAGTGCTGGCTTTTTAGTTGTTTATTCTTTCAACTTGATTACTTATTAGATTACAAGGATGTTCAGTATATAATGAAAATAGTCTTGTAAATATAAAACCTCTTTATATATATTTATGAAACTAAATTTCATACTTGCACACAACAATATATTTGAGATTGTTTATCCGCACTTGACATTTACATTTATTTTGACCTTGACATTCAAGGTGAAATTATTTAATATGTCATAAATATAGCCATAACTTTGTTACTTTTTACCAATTTGATAAATACTTAGGCATAATAACACTAATGATATAATAAGACAAAAGCAACATGTTGAATAATTCAAATATGACCTTGACCATAATAACCATAATATGACCTTGATTATGAATGTAAAATCATTAACTTTAGCTAAAATTGTATCAAATCTATTTATTTACAAATTTGACTTACAATACAAATTGATTTGTCTTGCTTGTGACAACACCAACATGTTGAATTATTTTGACCTTGACCTTAAAATGACAATGATCATCAATGTCAATTTATAGAAATTTGCTTGGATGTTGATAACTTTGTTATTATTTACAGTTCTGATTCATACTTAGACAAAAGGACACTAATGACATAATGGAACTGTTGAATAATTCAAATAAGGCATTGAACTTTACAAAACCTTGACCATCAAAAATAAACTTAATTGTGATAACTTTATCATGTTTTTACAAATTTGATTCATATTTGACAATTTTCTGATTAATTTCAGGTGAACCTCCAGATATTGTTAGCAGCTCACACAGTGATACTGCCCATCAGGAAGGTACACAAGCCAAACATGTTATTGTTACAAAACATACAACATATGACAGTGCTGAAGATGATGATGATGATAATGTTACTGAACAATGTAGAAAAACAGAGAAATGTCCTGCAGGTGAGGAAAGTGTTGTTGATAAAAAGGAGGAGGATGAATTGTGTTCAAAGGATGCCGATATTAAAGATATTCCAAAGTCAGAAAGTAAAGGAGTGAAGATAAATAACAAAAAGGGCAAAGTTGGTAAGAAAAAGGGAAAACGTGGTAGAAAACCTGGAAAGGCAGTCACTAAAGTTAGTAAAGAAGTTGCAGAAGTAGCTGAATGTGAAAAAACCAATGTTTTAGAGGAGTGTAATCAAACAATGGACCAAATAACAGACAGTGTTGCACGTGCAATAAGTGAAGAAAGAAAAGCAAGACTAGCACTGTTAGATATTCATTCAGCTAGTTTAGACTCGATAAGTAATAAAGAGCATTCTCCAGTTACAGAGGGTGATGGAAATGTTAAAAAGGATTCTTTGCCCTTGCTAGACAACCCTACAAAGGGAAAAGAGGAAAAAAATTCTGAAGAGAATAAATCTGAGAACGATGTTGATGCAACAGAAGATGAATTGAAAGAAAAATCAATAAAAGTTCTTGCCATTTGGAACGAGATTGTTAATGATACTAACCAAGCAAGCAGTGAAGTTCTTTATGATCTCATAGCTGATAAAATCAAACAAAATAGAGAAAAAATGTCTGTAGAAAGAGATTGTCAAACTGAAAGTCAAATTAATAATGACAGTGTTAGTGGAGCAATAGAATCTAAAAATGTTCCACCAGAAACTGTTGTTAGAAGCACATCTATAGATACATCCAATATACAGAAAGAAGAAGATTTAAAATATAGTGGAAACTCACTTAATCAAAATAATGAAAATTCAACTTCGCGGAATATGAGGCAAAATTCATGTGAAAGTAATTCAAGTAGTCTAAGTAAACAAAGTGTGGATCAAAACACAGATCAGGGGATGGTTAAAGATAAAATGGAAGGAACTAGTGGAACGTTAACAAAAGGCAATGCTGTAAATAATACCACATCAACTGTTTCAGTAACTAATTCAAATAACCCACAAGGTAGTTGTGAAAAACAGACAGTAAATACTGATATAAATGTTATTGCAACTAATAATACTGTAAAACAAGGAACTCTACCAGTTGTAATAGATGTTGATGCTAATGCAAGACAGGCCCCAAAATCTAGCACCCCTAATACTTCAAGTGCAACAAGTACTCCTGTTAAGCAAGTTGGAAATAAAGTAGGCCAAAGTACACCAAAGCAGGTGAGAACACCAACACAGAGTGTTAATAAACAAAAAGTGCAGTCAGTAACTCCAGCAAAAATAGGTAAAGGCAAAAGTTTAGTTGATAATTTGATATCTACTGGTGTGCCAATTATTATTCCGGATGATGATGATGACGATATTGAAGAGAGTCACGATGATTTTATGCCAAGTCCTAGGTCTAATGCTTTTGAAATAAAATCAAAGCAATACAAAGAACAGCACGAAAAGAGGGCAGCCAAGCGAATGGCGCAGATGGCTCGAAGACAAGGATATAGTACATATATGCAACAGGCTTCTTCCCAAATAGCACCGAACAGTACATCCTCTTATAGCCAATACCCTTCCACACTTCAACAGCAGCAGCAAAAACAACAATATCAGTACCAAGGTTACCAAGAGACACAGCAGTTAAGAGGCCAACAACATCAGCAACAGTATCAGTATGAAGAATATATGGACGAACAACAGTATGAACACCAACAATCCCTTGAACCGTTTTACTCTCCTCAGCAATCTTCACCTGCTTTACAGCAACAAATGTTCACGCCCCCAAAAAGCGGTACTTTCCAAAGAGGCCGCCAGCAAAGGACATCATCATATCAAGGCAGAGAGATGTCGCCTCAGTCTCGTAACTTTTCTCCGCCTACTACGCCAACCACACCAAAAAGTCCATATTTTAAACAAGGGTATGTAACTCCTACTAAGCATCAGCAAAATGTACCGTCTCAGTCACCACACTCTAGAATCCCACCTAATCAGTCACCGGCTGCAAAGCAAGGTTTGCAGCAGAATCGTTATTCCCCTGCCCCAAAACGGACTATTCCTATAGTTATTGAAGATGAGCCTTCTGGTATGAAGAGGAAAGGACAAATGTCTTTGGCTCAGTCACAATACCAACAGCCTGCTCAAAGAGAAGCTTTTGTGACAAAATTACCAGTAACTAATCCACAGCAAATTCCTCCCGGACAAGCTTGTGAAGTCAGTACCAATTACGAGGAGTTTCTACGATTGCAACAACAACAGCAGAAGCAGCAACAACTTCAACAACAGCAGCAGGAGAAGCAGCAACAGCTTCTACAACAACAGCAGCAGCAGGGAAAGCAACAGCAGCTGCTACAACAACAACAGCAGGAGAAGCAACAACAATATCTACTGCAGCAGGCGAAGCAACAACAACTGTTACAACAACAGCAGCAGCAGGAGAAGCAACAACAATATTTACAACAGCAGCAGGCAAAGCAACAACAATTTCTACAGCAACAGCAGCAAGCACTACAGCAACAAAAACAGCTTCAATACGTACCTTCTGTTGAGGATAGGCAACTTAAAGCTGGATCTGTTGGTGAACCTGCTTTATTGAATGCTGACAGAGATAATTTAATTGGTTCTGAGATGCAACAGTCTCAATTTACACCACTACCAGCGTCTGCTAGCGTGGAAACATCCTTAGTTCGTCAGGCAAATGAAAGAACGCCCATTAAAAGAATCAGATCTGATGAAACCATTATGTCACCTGCTATGTCTGCAACAGAACCATTAAACAGACATCGTCACTCTTCAACCGATAGCAACTCGTCCTTTTCTCAGACTTTGAACACAAAGTCTCCCATTGTCTCTCCAGATGCTTCACAAAGATTTCCTGAAGGCCAGATTTCACCTAGTAAAATTCCTCCAAAATTAGAAATTGACGTAGATGATGTTCGAGGGGCTCTGCCTGCTTTACCTGAATTAAGTGGTCAAGTAGTTCCAATGAAAAGCCCTTCAATGTCTTCTCAGACTAGTGAAATGTCAGCTAGTGATAGAGAAGAGAGGGCAAGCATTCCTCTCCCGCCACAGTTAGCTCGATCTGATCTCAAATCCTTTTCACCACCAGTAAGCCCATCCACTAAACGTCTTCATGCTGCGCCAGGAACACGTGCTACCGCACTTTCTTCTGGTGACGATTCATCTGTAACATCCCAGGAAACAGTGCCCTCTCAGCCGTTAAAGAAGTTTGGTTGTGGCGATTGCGGAAAATCGTACACAACCAAGGCAGCTCTAAATCAACATTTTCGAAAGCACACACAAGAAAGACCTTTTGAATGTGATGTGTGTGGCAAACACTACTCACAGAAAGGATATCTTAAAAAACATATTCTTACGCATTTTGAAGAAAAATGATTGGGGGGGGGGGGGGGGTAAAAAAGACCTTGGGGGTCGGGGTGAAGGGGCAATGGTGGCAGACATTGCAGTTGCAACATTGTTTTGTTCTTCTTTACAGTAGACTTGCATTGATATGATAAAGAAATCCACATTGACTACAGCAAAAATATCACATAGTTTTTAAATACGCTCGTAAAAATTGTGTCAGATAGATTTTTTTTCTCCTTAAAAATTGATGTATTCATTGTTGTGTTTGTGTAATTAAGCAATGTTTATTAGTTTGCGTTTATATTTACTTGTACAAGCAATCTTTTTTTTCTAATATCTGTGTTGCTGGGCAAGGAAATGTATAATTGTAAAGCCTTTGCATGTAGAAAAAAAATAGTATATGTTTTGTAAAACAATGTAATGTTATGGGATAGGTATTCATTATATAGATGACTGACTGATAAATACAGTTTTGCTTTAATGTATTGTTTATTTCATATATGTCTGGTACAAGTATATATTGTTACACATGTGCTATGAATCTGTTTCCTAGGTATGTGATAAAATTGCAAGTTAACAAGTCATACAATGTAGATGTTTTCTGTAAATTGTAAGATATTATGTGTACTTTGGAAAAAAAGTGAAACCTGAATTATCTTACATAAATTGTTACATTACAATGTACCTAGAGGATATCAAATGAATGTAGGTTCAATACTGAATTTATGAAAATTAAAGTACGCTAGGCCTCTGGCAAGCATAACATTTTTTTTCTTAACAAGTTCAATAGATTTAGTAACAAAGCTATAGGAATATGATATTCTACTCTCACATATTCAAACTGAAACTGTTAACAGTCAAAAGAATCACTTTTCCCTGGAGGAGTAATTTTAACATTAGCGCATCTGTATATTGTGTTTGAAGTCCAGTCAAAATATATGCATGGGCATGCAATACCTGTTTTTATTCAGTCACAACAGCAGCTAAGGTATCTTTTTTACATGTACTGGAAAATTAAGTAAATTTAGGCATACAGTTACATGTTAACAGCAAATGTATCTTTCCTAAGTGAAAACTACAAATTGCCATTAATATGCCATAATTATTAGTCTACCTCCAATTTCAGTAACCTGAATATACTCTATAAATGCCAAAAAGCACCATAATGACAGTCCAGGGCCAAAGATTTTGTAGTGAGCCTGGAAAACGAGGCCCTCTTCAAGCAAAGTTTAACATAATATCACCTTAGTGCATTAATGGGTTAAATCCTTTAAATTTAATAGGAGTTAAATCCAGTTATTTCACTTAGGTGACAATAAGTCTCTATTCCTTCTTTTTATCAACTGTTAAGTTTAGTTAAGTCTGATAACAGCATAAGCTCAGTTTCTCAGGCTAAAATGTGACATTAAGAAAAAAAGGCTTAATGGTTAATTGGTTATATAATTATGAAAAATAAGCAGCATCTTATGGTTAAAGATTTATCTTCGTAATAATTAGAATTCATTTGATATTTGATTATTATTATTTTCTTTTCTTTTTTTCTTTTTTTAAGAAAAGTAAAAACAATTTAAATACACAAAGAATTAAAAATTTGAGTAAAAGTAAAGATTAGTTGAGATTGTTTTGAAATTCATATACTTAGATATTTGTGTAAAAAGAACATTAAAGTTGTTTGCGGTTATTGTCTCAAGTAATTTAACACTCTGAGTATTAGTGGTGAACATTATTCCTGTAAGATGCCAAAATAAAGGCAAGGGCTGATCTTAGCAGTCTGACTGTTCTCTAAATCTGTTGGTCAAGCTATTTTAGTTTGTATTTCAGCAAAGGATAGCTTGAAATCCCTTATATTTACCAAGGGTAGTTTTAAATAACTGATATTAAGAAATTGTAAATAAGTATTTTCAAAAATCTGCAAGAAAATGGTAACAGTCTGATGGGAAAACAGTTACACCAAAACAAATCAGCTGTTTTTCTAAAATGATAAACACACCAACTAGGAATGTATGTTTTTCTATCACAGTAATGTTGTTCTTTCACTGTTATTTAATCCTTTTCATGTTACTTGTATGTACATATGTTTTACATAACCATTTACATCATATGGCATTCATATTGATTTAATTTTTTATGCTACTTAATGTTGAATTTTTCACCTCCATTGAAGAGGATCACTCAAACACTTGTCACAATTTCTACCAAGAGTTGTTGCCCTTTAATTCAGGAAATGACCCAGAGTTATTGTTCTTTATTCACTTTATCAACCGTTAACAAAAATTTCTCATTCTTTACCTGAACTGTATCCATAGTTCCAGCTTTTTATCATCACTCACCAACATATAAGTTTTTTTGAATGGTCATTTAAAGATATTTCTTAGAAGAAATTACAGTAAGAGCCATCATTTTAAATTTATGTATATTTGTACATGAGAATTTGTATCAGTACATTTGTATTTTAGATAGAGTTTTTGTTGAACTGGAAATTCCTAGAGTATTTCACAAATACATGAGAATTTTCTAGATATATAGCAGAAAATGGTATTTTTTATTGTAAATTGGAGCATTCAAAGACAGATTAATGTACTATTGAATCTATTGAAAGTTTGTGAAAATTCTTATACTGTATAAGTTATTAATTTTGCGACATGAAAATATTTGTGATTTTTGCGAATTGAAATTATTTGAAAATATTTGATCGTGCAAAATTATTTCTGTGCACATTTTCATACAGCATCTTACATGAATAAGTTTTACTCTTCACCTTCTGAGATTAATTTTCTCATTGCTTGTTTGTTTAATTTTGGTCTTAACAAATCACAAATGTATTGATAAAACAATACATGTGTAAATAACACAATAGGTTATTCATATAACAAAATAATGTTTAAAAATATCACAAAGAAATGTGTGATCAGGTCCTTTAACAAACAACATATTTTTCAACAATTATATAAATAACAAAGGTATTAAACAACTGAGTAGAATACAATAGTTGCATATTTATACCCCCGCACAACAAAGTTGTAAGGGGGGTATACTGGAATCAGCTTGTCTGTCCGGCCGTCCAGCTGTCCGTCGGTTTTTTCTTGTCCGCCCAATAACTTAAGATTCCTTTGACCCTTAGTCTTCATATTTGGCATGGAGGTTAGTCATGATTAGTAGATGACCCTTATTGATTTTGAGGTCACTAGGTCAAAGGTCAAGGTCACAGGGGCCTTGACTTCAAAAAGCTTGTCCGCCCAATAACGTAAGATTCCTTTGACCTACAGTCGTCATATTTGGCATGGAGGTTAGTCATGATAAGTAGACGACCCCTATTGATTTTGAGGTTACTAGGTCAAAGGTCAAGGTCACAGGGGCCTTGACTTCAAAAAGCTTGTCCACCCAATAACTTAAGATTCCTTTGACCCACAGTCTTCATATTTGGCATGGAGGTAAGTCATGATTAGTAGATGACCCCTATTGATTTTGAGGTCACCAGGTCAAAGGTCAAGGTCACAGGGGCCTTGACTTCAAAAAGCTTGTCCGCCCAATAACTTAAGATTCCTTTGACCCACATACTTCATATTTGGCATGGAGGCAAGTCATGATTAGTAGATGACCCCTATTGACTTTGAGGTCACCAGGTCAAAGGTCAAGGTCACAGGGGCCTTGACTTCAAAAAGCTTGTCCGCCCTATAACTTAAGAATTCTTTGACCCACAGTCTTCATATTTGGCATGGAGGTTAGTCATGATTAGTAGATGACCCCTATTGACTTTGAGGTCACCAGGTCAAAGGTCAAGGTCACAGGGGCCTTGACTTCAAAAAGCTTGTCCACCCTATAACTTAAGATTCCTTTGACCCACAGTCTTCATATTTGGCATGGAGGTTAGTCATGATTAGTAGATGACCCCTATTGATTTTGAGGTCACCAGGTCAAAGGTCAAGGTCACAGGGACTTTGAATTCAAAAAGTTTGTTTGCCCAATAACTTTAGATTCCTTTGACCCACAGTCTTCATATTTGGCATGGATGTTGATCATGATTAGTAGATGACCCCTTTTGATTTTGAGGTCACTAGATCAAAGGTCAAGGTCATAGGGACTTTGACTTCAAAAAGTTTGTCCACCCGTTAACTTAAGATTCCTTTGACCCACAGTCTTCATATTTGGCATGGATGTTGATCATGACTATAAGGTGACCCCTATTGATTTTGAGGCCACTGGGTCAAAGGTCAAGGTCACAGGAACCTTGACAAAAAAAGCTTTTCTTCTTAATTGCTTAAGAATGTCCGGTCGGCAATGTATTGATTTTGACATTTTCACATTTGAAGCATGTAGAATTCATAACTTAGCAATGCACTGGCTTAGTAACCTCAGATTTGGCAGGGAGGTTGTCCTTGAGCTCTAAATGGCCACTGTTGATTCTGACAAAGTGGTATGCGGGGGTATTCACGCCATGATAGTGGCAGTTCTAGTTTTAACATGTACCTGCTTAATTAATGATACCACAAAAACAGTATTCAGTTCAAGAAATCCTATTTTCGAGAATATTTTCGCACAATATTTTCATACACAAAAAGTCCACTTTTTGACATTAGCAAATTTTTTGTGACACATAAATACCCACTTACACAGTAACATTTTTGGTTTCTTAAGGTGTTTTTCAGATCATGATAAAAGGCCTTTTGTGGTTAAGGTTTGAATTTTATTGATCAGTTGATGAATTGATTGATTAATTTATTTTATTTATTTAAATGGAGAAAATACATAATAACATCCATATGTAATATATTCAGGGTAAATGGGTTTGTCATCGCAGCATAAACTCAAACTGTAATAACTGTGCAAGTGGATATTTCCGTGTGTCGAAAAGTTAGTGAATTTAAAATACCAGACCTAAGGAAATATAAGCGAATCATGCAAGGGTAGAATATAATGACAGGTTGGTTGATATTTACACTAGAAATTTAGTGATTTTCGTCAATTCGTGAAATTCGTCAATATTTCTGTGTGGCTTACTTAACCACTTATGCAGTAGCAATTTAATATATGTATGTAGTTTAGTTGCTTTTTACTGTTATCTATATACATTTTATATTAATAACGTTTACTTGCAGCATAACTTTCAAATGGATAAGAAGTACTTGATTTATACTGATGTTGGATTTTAATTTGTATTTTTTATGAGAACAAGACACTGTCGCCACCTTTATTTATTTATAAGTCATCCATGTTTGCTAAGTTTTTATAATAACGTTAAACTCACTAAGATTTTTGTATGAAATTTTATTGTCAAAATTATTGTATGCCATTTTCTTTTAAAAGTATTTTAAGTACTCAGTTTTAATATTTTAATGCATTTTCTTTTTTCACAGTCCTTATTCAGTATTAGCCATGTCCATTGTTAATATTTTTTACAAGCTCATTTTTATAGTCCGTTTTTAAGTTAACGCCTCAGAATGCCTGAAATTTAATATTATTTTTTTATACTGAAATTTCTTTGCTTTTGTAATGAAATTGTCTTGTCCTCCATGGTTTAATTCAAGTGTGACAAGCTGGAGTTACTGCCCTCGAATCTTTAAAAAATAACTAAGGATTTATTTTAATGTTATGCAGCCTTTTTGAAATGCTGAAAATATTTAAATATCGCAAGAACACATTCATTTAAAGTAGGCTTCAGCTTTTATTTTTTTGTTGGAAAAACAATTTTGTGCTGTTTTTTTCCAAACTAAGATTTTCAGTAATATAACCAAGTAAAAGTGCATTGTATCACTGTTAAGCCTTGTTAAAACAGTGCTCCGAGCACTTCTCATACAGTTTCTAAAAAAAGAGAATTGGGAAACAAATCGTCATCCTTACTAATTAACATATTACAGAGAATGGTCCGGTAGATCAGAGGTATCGACGGGTTTCCTTATTGTTCATGTATTTTATCGACAACAAATTTCATTTTATACATTAATTCTTTTGACAATTATATGAAACAGTTTATCTTTGGATAACATATTTAACCTTTAGAAAAGTAGATGGTTGCTTTAACTGAAAATGATGAAAATACTTGAAATTACCCTAAATCGCGTTTTTTCATGTTTAAACATGGCCTGTCATATAAATTTGAAGAAAAATTGTTGTTTTGTAGATTTTTTTATTTTTTTCATTAACCCATTGCTTCATGAGCATTTTGTGAAAAATGGCTGTTTTCATTGAAAAGTCTCCCGTTACAAGTTCAAATTGCTATAATACTATAAAAACTGCTTCAACACTAATCAAACTTGGCACAAATGTTGACTGGACCATTGTCCTTGCAACAACATGCTCAGACTTAAATTTTCTGTTACCATGGCAACGAGGGGACATCTCAAAATTGCCAAAAATCACTATTTTGCGTTGATTTTTTCCATCAAAATTGATTTCAAAGTGCTGCAACTTATCAATGGATTGAGATAGAGTCAAATGCTTTTCAGCGTTGGTTACACGTTACCTTATGATCAATCTGGGGTCATTTACAGCCTCTCACAAGTCCAAAATTTTCTTGGCGATGAGGGGACTCCGCCCCCTTCAAACCCCCCAAAACAGAAGGGGGCACATCCCCCTTCTGGCAACCCCCTGATGTATCTTTTGGATGGGGGGCCGCGCCGAAAAAGAGGTCAATTTTTTTAACAACATTTCTCAAACAAAAACAAGTGTTTGGGGCCTAAATAAGGCATTTTTTCATCATTTGAGACAACAAAAAGGGGGGGGGGGTGAAAAAGGCGTTAAAAGGCGTGTATATGAAGTAATGGGTTAAGATCTCTTTATCCTGTAAGGAGATCATTTGTGACATTTTTGCACTCTTGTAAACATGTTTGTTGATTCAGACTTTTTGTTTTCATTTGCATGTACAAGCGAGTCTTAGGGTAATTTTTTTTCAAAACAAATGTTTACATTTCAAAT